GAAGGTCCTGGACCTGCTCTTGTGGTTTTGCTGCCAGTGCAACGACCAGTTTGGCAGAGCTATATTTGCATACATCAAGAATGTAGATGATCTTTATGTAGATGATCTAACAAGAATGTTAGATGATCTTTAAGGTCCCTTCCAACCCAAACCATTCTATGATTCTAAGAAGAGAAAAAAACCTTGGCCTCAAGTACAAATTTTGTATCTAGAGATGAAACGAGAATTTGTTTGTCTCCTAAACTGGTGAATGAATTCCAATACTAAAAACAGTCTTTTGGGTCTGGGGTGCAAACTTAATATCAACGGCTCTGTAAAGGATACTGCATGGCTTGGTATTTCTCCCCTCTCTGACTCACACACAAACCAGCAAGCAGGTATCAGGTAATATATTTTTCCTAAAAGATATTATTCTGCTTTCTATAGCTTATCCTTCCTTTTAGGAAAGGCAAATTCCACATCTTAAGAACATAACCACATTCAAAATATGTTGAAGGCATCGTTCCAAAATGACAGCACGCTCAGGATGATATCATCTCCTTCTGCTTACACAGGAACAATCCTGCTTGTGAGATCACAAGGAACGCCACAGTAATTGAATTTGATACAAAATGGAAAATAACAGAATTGCTTGCTAGTACTGCATACCATCCCCTCTCTCCCTCCCAACTGTTTGTTCCACATTTTTTTGAAGCTACTTACTGGACACTGGTAACAAATTCAGGTTTAAAAAAATAAAAATAACAGCAACCAGCTGTAAAGACTTCTGGGAAGAAAAAAATTCATTTGCATCGCAATAGCACCTAGACCAAACCCTTGGCACCAAAAGGATTTTATCCTACCAGGCCTGAACCCACAACTCAGAATTTCTCCTGCTGCAGCTACAAAAACCTCTTGCTCAGAGCAGCGGAGCAGGCAGCTGCCTTTCTCCCTTAGCCTGACGGGACACTGGGGAAGTCATCGCTGTCTGCTATGGGACAAAGAGTTAATACATAAACTTTGTAGCATCATTTCTGTAAGTGAAAATCTTTTATGAAGTTGGGGGTTTTTTTAATTAGTAATTTCTGGTTTTGCAATACCAGGGCTCCCCCTTCATTAGGGGATGGTTCAAACTCCATAAGGAATCTCAGTTTTTCCACTGCTCTGCAAAGAGCCACTTAGCAGTGGCTGTTTGGTAACCCTTACTGCAGCCTGGTGCAACCTCTAAAGTCAGAGTATTTTTTGGTGACTTCACTGGGACCCACTCAGGCCCACTCATGCAAAATTACCACCAGGATAGAAGCCTCACAGAATGACAGAATTGCCTGGATTGGAAGAGACCTTTAAGATCATCAAGTCCAATCATTAACCTCACACTGACAAGTCCTCAACTAAACTGTGTCCCTAAGTAGTATGTCTACAGGACTCAAATACCTCCAGGGATGGGGACTCCACCACTGCCCTGGGCAACCCCTTCCAATGCCTGAGAAACCTTTCAGCAAAGAAAGCCTCACAGGCTTCAGTGGCATAACAACTACTGGACACAAGTATGTATGAATTAGAGTTTAATTCTCTACCCCAAAGAGTTAGGAAAGGAAATAAGTTTAAATGACTTCTTTACTGTTTGCTTTTTGAGGAACTAACTACACTAACTGCGTTCCCGGGTCTCGGTTTCGATGCTCTCCAGACACAGCCAAGCTCAGGCAGCTCCAGGCCTCCTGTCCGAACCAGGCTGCAGTTGATCCTGCACAGACACAGCAGCTACAGGACTGACAACGTTTCCATGTCACACCATGCAGGCACACTGATGGCAACTGTGGTGTTCAATATTCATTTGGGATGAATCATCTTGCACGCCTGTAATGAAATTCCCAGTGCCCAACATCCTCACGCTTGCTGCCTTTAGCGTCTTGGTTTTAGAGGATACAAACAGTGACGACATCCATCCGTTGCGGCTGACGAAGCAGTCCACGGGAGCGAAGAGAGGGCTGTCATTTGGTCACTTATGAACTGGCAATCTGGTGATGAATACTGCATTAGGACAAGGCCAGCCAGAAACTGAGGAAAGGTCAGAGGAACTGAAGGAGGTTCCCCCCATCCCTCTTCTCTCCCCTCTTTAGCCCCTTTGCTCCCACTGCAGAGTCCCTTGTGCACGTACAGTGCCATCTGGGTTTTTTCCTCCCGTTACCATATCTTGTGGGACACATGTCTAGGTTTTCTGCTTTCATGAGGTCATTCAGACCAATATGAGTATGTTCTCCGAGTGTTTTTCAACCCACTCCTATTTAGAAACCAAATCCTATTCATTAAAACCTAAATCACTAAGCCTGCCAAATTATTATCCCCAGAATATCAAGTGTCCCAGATTCTCCCTGGGCTGGACCTCTCCTCCCACAGTCACGTTCTTCAGGGACTTAAAGCAGTTATTGTTTTCAGGGGATCTGAAACATCAATAAACTGCTTGAAACAGGAAAAAATATGCAGCATACTAAAAATCTTTGAACAGCTTGACAGCTTTGAAATCATTATGTGAGCCTAACATTAAGGGAGTATGTTTGAAAAATTTGGCTAATAACCGTATCATGTATATAAAAAAAGACATTTTTTTTCAATAATACATCTGTGATGCATGAAAATACTGTAAGCTCACTGTGTAAAAAGAACTTCATTAAAAGTGAAATAAACTGCACATGAATTCACTCCTTTCTCACAGCGCAGTTCAGCAGCTCTATTTACACTATGGCACACAGTTGTACACTTGTGTTGAGGAGAAGTAGTTTCTTTCCATTTCTGACTGGCATATACTTACGTATTTAGAGTTTACAATCAGAAAGATTGCTTCATATACAATGAAAATAGTAAAGCTCAGCCATCCTGGAGCATGAAGTCTTCTTACATCGAGAGCACAGTAGTAGGGAAGAGTCAATTAAAAAGAACCTCGGGTACAGCTGCTCAGGCCAGTTCTCATTATTCCTCAGCAGCACATATGCAATTTGAACTGTGAATATGCATTCATATAAGGCAACTGTATCACAGGGTAAAGGCTTTCTTCCATCCTCCCACGTGTAATCTGTAAATTCACCATGGTCATCCACAGTTGGGTTTTGTTTTGTTTCTGGGTTTTTTGAGTTTTGCGACTTGGTAGTATTTCTCATAGTTAAATGAAAAGGGAAAATTCTTGTCTCTGTTACTGTGTATCAGGATCTATTTCCTTCACTGCTGATGCAAAACGGCGTTTCATTTTTCTTAGTTATTCCACGTCAGTAAATCTGCCTGCCCAGTCCTCACGTTTTGATTTAATTTAATGCCTGCAAGATAAACCCTGTCATTTGAAATAATTTGTAAACCTTCATCTTTAAAATGCATCCAATCTGTCCTGCAGCCCTGTAAAGTATCTGTTAAACATTTTGCTTCAGCTTGCTCATGGTGTTCTCCTCTGATAAGGGCTGCTGATATGCAGTATAAAACTGACTTATTTCTTATCTCCATCAACATGGGTGTTGTTCCATTTCCAATGAAAAAAAACTGGGGCAGCAGCCACTCATCTGGGTACAGAGAAACAAATGTCTGATAAACAATGAATCCATCAACTGGGCAGTATCCTTGCTGAATCAGGCAGGGGATTCACAAAAATAATTACTAAAATATAAAACTGTAATTCACTTACAATTCAGTGAAGTTAAAAAATTTAAATTAGATCAATCATTTTCATTTACTGATGAAAAATTCATAAAGCACATTAGCTTGTGCAAATTGTCTCAGCTACACTGCAATCCAAAATAGGTGGCCAACCGCATTTGCCACAGGATGGGAAACACAAACCAGTACCTATGTGACACCACCATTCAGACCTGCCTGTGTTAGGTGCTCGAAGTGAAAATAGCTCTCGCTGTTTAATTCCAAGCGCTCAGGCAGTGTTGCTTTCCAGCATTCTCCTCACAAGTACGGTGAGTCCTGCATATACATGGCACGTAGTCCTAGCCCAACTTCCTCCAAGTATTTATTCTATAAAATTACAGTACATCATTATAGTCCTTGCATTAAAAAGACCCCACAACCTGTAAACCTGTAGTATAAAATTCTGGTAAAGGGGAAAAAAAACCCACTTAGCTGAAAAGAACAATTTCCTAATAGTTAAATGTAGATACTTTCCCCTGAACTTGTCAGTGCAAAGCACTGTGTATGAACCTAAATACCCAAAGCGAAATGCTCAAGATCTTCTCTTGCTTAGCACTAGCAGTAACGACATGCCCCAGCTGGTTTTTCTCCTTGGACTTTGCAATCCATTTCTGGAAGGAAGAGTTAAAAGAGGTTGTGATAGCGCTTCAATCACCTCAAGCTGTGGTGGTTGCCTCGCAATCACTGGATCTAGGGCACCTCATAAAGGACAGCCATTACACTGTGTCCAGGTGGGATCTTAGAGGAAGAAGCAAGAGTTGCAAGCATGAAGGCATAGCAGGCAGGAGATACAGTCCAGACAGTAAACAGACACATTTTTGAAGGGGTCAGCTTCTGTTTTACACCCCAACGCCAAGTGGCAGCATTTTCCAGGAAATTTCTTCGCTCAGAGAAAAAGCTCATTTTTCTCCATGAGGGCTGCTGGTGAAAGAGCCTTTGAAAAATCCTGCCATTTCAGAGGTACCCGCTGCCTGCTGAGCCCATCTAAAAACCCGACTGGGCTACACAGTCTTAGTACTTCGTAAAATCTGCCCCCCAAATCCGAATACATCTCCTACATCAACGCTTCATGGCAGCAACTTTGCAGGGGGTTCTGGGCTGTTTATTTCATTATCCAGACTAGGAGTAGGACTGTTTCAGACTTCTGAATTCACTGTGAAACATATTGGGAATTTAAGTGAATAGAAATAAAGAGCATAATGTGAGAGACCATGTGTTACTTTCAGAAATTAGGGAACTGGCAAGAACAAAGCCTTGAAGTGTTACATACACACACTTATGTAACAGATCCAAAGTACAGAATTATCTTAGAAAAACTAGGAAATCCTGGTAAACCTAAACCAGGAGGTTCCTCTGCTTGCATCCTATGAAAGCAACAGATCAACCACCTTGACTTGGTAACAGATTTACCATTCTACATGTTGTGCTTTCATCCTTGCCAAAACAAAAGGGAAACGATAAACTCATCATAAACACCCTCAGCAACACTTTCTGTTTTGCACAGCTGCTAACACATACGGGTAACTGGTGTTTATTGCACATGAGTTCTACCAGTTTAAAAGAAACTCATCAATCAGAAGGAAAAAATGCTGTAATTTTTCAAGAATGATCTATGAGTTCAAGGTGGTTTTATAGCCAAAGTATTTAGGACATTTTGTACATTATTAATTACTCAAAATCTGCAGTGAGGTGGGTTATTGTCCACATACACTAATGGCTTTCAGAGTTTAATCTCTCATCAGTGGACCTCCTTTTGCAAAATCCCTAAGGGATTATGTAGTACTATGTCTAATCATTTGGCAAATTTCATTTACTTGAAACCGAAGCTAGGTTTGAATTATACAAAGCATGTAGGAGGAATCAGATTCAAAGTAGGAAAAAAAAATCTGGTACTGGACAGTACCAGGATTTATCATAAATTAAACAACTCTACTTGGGGAAATGTATTAGTCATGTATCAGCTGCATATGCCTGTGAGATACTCAGATTGCCTACAAATCACACACAACAGGTTCAAAGTATACTACGACTCATGTAAAAAGGCAGTGGAAATTTTAATAATTTTGTTATTGCTGTATAATTTAGCAAAAAATATTCCTATGATTTGTTCAGTAGTCTGCTAAACTGAAGAGGGAAATTTATTTGGCATAAACTATATGATGCAGAAACAAAACAGTCCTTTGCTAGTTGCAATCACCCTCTGAAGTTCAGCACACCAGACCAAATAAATCACCTGTACAGCTGGGATGGATGAAGCACCTTTCCTCCTGCGCTGCTGTCTCCCTGTCACAGAACCGCTACCATGGAATTGCTCTCTCCATTAAGAAGCAATTCTCAGTGATTAACACATCCTGAAACCTAATGTTGTGAAACTCATTGCATTATTCCCCATTATCATAGCACAGGCAGATCTCTACATAAGCAAAATTTGCCAGACAACACCACAGAAAATGAAAAGGAATTAAAAACAGCATTTAGCACCAAGCTAACTACATGAAGGTTGTGTGATATTATATTCTATTATATGTTTTTATGACCTAGGTCTCCCACACTGCATTGCAAAGCCTTGCTACATGGCTAGTCTTGATGAAAACAACAGATTATGGCTCTGAAAACGACATTCAAACACACAGGCACACGCTACCACTGTAAACCAAATTTACCAAAATCCACCAAAGACTCAGCAATAACAAGACTTCTTTTGCAAAGATCATTTCTGGTAGGGTTAGGACAGATTCAGAGCAAATACAGATGCAGATAGAAAGATTGCTGCTCTATTAATTCGTTGTCAAGCCATGCAAGAAAGGATGCAGTAATGATTGTTTAAGAGTTATTCGAGAAAGTGACAAAACTGGCCTAAACCTCTTAAAGCCCCCTGAATGAAAAGATTTAAACAGGCTATTGTTAGACCCCTGGGTACCTTTTTTCTCTTGGCTTTGTTCTGCATTTTCCTCCGCTGCAGTTTCCATGGCTGGCTTCATACCATTCACCAAAAATGCCGCCCCCCCTCCCCCCCCAGCAAGCACTTTTTCTCTTCGCCTCCTTTCTCACTCCCTTCCGTCTCCTATTTACGGCGGCGGTGATTGAGCGGCTCTGTTCTCCCCTACAGTAGATTACAGTCCTTTCCAAAACGCCAGAAAAGTCTTGTCAGCTTCGATTTCGCTCCGCTGACTGGTCCATGAGGAGCTGTGCCAGCGAGCGCTCAGCCATACGTCACCGCGGTCCCCAGCTATAAAATAGCCACCCTGCGCCCGACCGTGCCCTGGCTTGCCACGTCCTGGGGACCAGCATCACCAGCTCGCACCCCCT